GCTACTTCATAACTATCATTTTGCTACTGTTATGAATCAGGCAACCCTGTGAAAGGGTTGTTCGACCCCCAAAGGGGTCGCAACCCACAGGTTGAGAACCACTGCCCTAGAGAGATGTGAGTGCTTCACAAGACCCTAGTTTCAGTTTATTACATGTGTCTTCAGAAAACAGAACAAGGGCAGTGAGGAGAAATTGCAGAGACAGCTGTTGCCTCCTTTTAAGGAAATGCGTTTTTAGAATGGACGGATCTATTTGCTGCTTTTCCAGACTGCCACCAATTGGGTACTTTGTAGGAGGGTTTCACCGTGGTTTTCAACCCTGGCTGCATATTAGAATCCCTTCGAGGCCTTTTGAAAGATACATTCTTGGCTTCATCCCCAGACATTCTCATTTGATTGGTCTGGAATGGGCAATGGTTTTCTTTGAAAGCTCCTCTAGAATTCTAATGTGCTGTCAGAATTGAACCCTGAGCTGGATGACCAACCCGTTAACCGTTGTTTATTTAGCACTTACTGTATACCAGGCCATCAGACCAGGAACTCTAGAGGGTACAGTGAGTTATGCATTACTCTGCGAACCACAAGGTCAGCAGTTTGAATCCACCAGTCTCTCTGGAAAAGAATGATGAAGCTGTATACTTCTCTAAAGATTTCAAGTCTTGGAAGCCCACGGGGGCAGTTCTACTCTGTCCTACAGGGTCACTATGAGTCGAAATCAACTCAGTGGCAGCTTTTTAAAGTGTACCAGACATGGTGCTCTAGCGGCTTTGTTGAGTAAGTATCGGACAGTTAACCACAAGATGGAATGTTCAAATCCAGCAGTAGCTCCACAGGAGAAAGTTTAGATGATTTGTTCCTATAGCCTCAGAAACCCCATATAAGGTCGTTATGAATGGAAATCTATTTGATGGCAGTGGGTTTAATGTATCAGACACTGTGTTAAGCGCATGTATATAACTTCATTTGTGTAACCCAGTCAATAAATTTGTCAAGCAGGTATTACAAAAGAGGTAATGAAAGATTAAGAGGCTGTGACGCTTGACCTAGGGCCACACAGCTCTTACATGGCAGTGCCCAAGTTAGGACTCAGATCTGCCTGACTAAGAAGGGCCCATGATCCTTTTCCCCAAACCTCACTTTTCCTTATCACTAAGCATTTTCTTTCTCAGCGCTGAGTTACGGGAGCAGTGCTTTGGCATGATTCATTTACCGTGACCCATATTGGCAACTTTAAGAAAAGATCATGCCCTTTATTTACTACTTAGGAGCTCTGGTAGTGCTATCAGGTAAGAGTTGGACTCCTAACTGCAAGGTCATTGGTTCAAACCCACCAACTGCTCTGTGGGTGAAAGAAGAAACTACCTTCTTGGTAAAGATTTCCAGCTTCGGAAACTTTATATAAGGTTTACTTCTTTGGGATTTACTTTTTGGGAAATGCATTAATCTTTTTATTTTATGTATTCTTTACTTCTTTGGGAAATGCATTAATTCTTCTTTGGGAAATGCATTAATTTACTTTTTGGGGAAATTATTTACTTCTTTTGGAAATGCATTAATCTTTTTATTTTATGTATTGTTTAGAGTAAGTGAACAGATTCAGTTTTTAGAATCCCAAAACTTTTATCAGAATGTTCAGCATATTCCTAAGAGCATCTTGCCAAATTTCATGTCTAATCCTGATAGCCAGAATTAAGATGTTTCTAATAAGCTGTTAGCACAGAGTACATATCCTAAAACCATTTGCCTCTGTCTGAATTTCAAATAAAACAAATAAATAATTGTGAAAGATATTAATAGTAAGCATTTTTTATTTTGTCTTAAATCTCGAAGTTAGCAGTATAAAGTGAAAATAATGCATCTGTTTAAAATGATAGTCATCATCTAGAACTGTGGGTAGCGTTTAATTGTTTACTAGCAAATTAATAGATTAGATTTTGTTCTAGGTATAACGGTAAGAATTGGACTGCAGACCATAAGGCTGGCAATTCAAACCCACCAGCTGCTCCTTGGGAAAAAGATAAGGCTCCCATAAAGATTTCCAGCCCTGGAAACCCTCTAAAGGGTGGCTTGGAGTTAAAATTGACCCTTGGCAGTAGGTTTGGATTTTAGAAGGTAGTTGGCACATTACAATGTGTCCATCAGTTATTATTCTTAAGACCATTTATTGCTGTTTTGAAAAGAGCTTCTTTGATTATGTCAGGAATCACCAATAAAGACAAGAAATAAACCACTGTATTTACATAGTAATTCCCCAGTAGACATGACAGGTGACACATGTGCTATATTAAGTGGTTGCAATGGTTTTCTCATAGAAAATGGTAAGTTTTTGTTGTTTTTGTTTCAGCACTGTTGCTTGGTAGATTATAAAATTAAAAGCCCTGTTTCATTGATGCCTTTTACCCACCACCACCCCACCAGACTTTTTTTTTAATGGCTCATATAAGAGCGTATTGGCTACTGCGCTGGAGGGTAGGGTCTAACAGATTCTCTGTGGCCCAAAAGAGCAGACACTTTAAATACAGTATGGTTGTGAAAGCATCACATTGCTATGTTAAAATACATACCTATTTGATAATAGTAGCAACTTTTCACCGCTTTCAGTTTGACGTGATAATGAATGAATCATTCAGGTCATGTTTGTAAAACTGCATTAAACGCTGCAGACGGAATGAAAATTGAATGCAAATTACTTTGGGAGTAATATGAATAGTATGTTTCATTATAAATTTATTTGTGTCCAAAAGATTTTTTAAAAGACGTTTAGTTGAATGGAATAAATTGCATTTCATTCTTGCTTTCCCATAATAGCCACCCTATTTACTTCTGAAGCAACAGCTATAAAATTTAATTGGTTTGCTAATTGCCATAAATAATAGCAACATAATAAATAAAATACCTTAATTGAATATAGGGAGACAGAATAGCTTAATAAAGTTAAACAGTTACAGATAATTTAGAATACATTGTAAATAAAATGCATTGCATGTGCAAATAACTTTTAATGGATTTAAGTAGACCGGTGCATCTCTATAGCAATGTACAAAATACCGTATAAGCAAGGTGACTGTGGACAGTAGACAGTTAAATAACCTTGATGGCTTAGAGTTCTTAAAATAACTGAAGGGACACAACCTCAACCTCATTTAAGCCAAGGCAAAGGTGGCACCCCAGATGGCATTATAATTTTGGAATTAGATGAGATCTGTACTGGTATTCTCTCCATTTTATCACTATGCTAAGCTCTGCCAAGTAAATTTTAAAGGTCCCCATAGTTTAAATAAAAGAATGAAGGGATTCTGCAGTTTTTGTTTTGGCTCTCATTCCAATATTTAACCACCGTCTGACTGACTTAGAACCATTTTACTTAGTTGTTGTAAAAGCAAAATATAGAGCAGCCTTATCACCATGAATCAAGTTTCACTTTTAATGTCAGATAATCAGATGATAGTGGAAATAAAGGATCATTTCTTAAGCTGAGATCAAGGAATACTCACAGTTCAGGCTCTTCTGAATGAAGCCAAAGGAGCTGAACCCCAAACTTCCCTAGACACAGGCTTGTCTCGGTCGGTCGTGTCATCTGGGCTCCTTCATCCGGTCGTTGTGCAATTGGTTGGGGTTTTCTTCTGTTTTATATTCACACGTGTTGGTCATTTTTCCCCCCTTTTTCTTGTGATAACTCTCAGACTCCTTGAAAATTTTAAGACTCCCTACCACCATCCAACAAACATGATGTTTAAAATCAGTCATCACTTAGGATTAGAAAATTTTATCTTTTTTATGAATAACTGCCTTTCAACTTGGCTGTAGTGGAACGTTTTCCTTCACTCTCTCCCCCCAAAAAGAATTCTAAACAAAAATAAGTGTTTTCTAGGACATGATGCCATATGGTATATGGGCTATTTCACTGAATTTCTGTTTCTTCCTGGGATGCTTGTGGAAATTAAATTAGGCACATAAAATGACATTCCAGTAACTTAGATGGAAAATATTTTATTCTTGAATTATATGTGTAAGTTGGTTTATTTGATCTATACTGTGTTGTATATTTCCACATATCCCTTAAGATCTTAGATTTATTTTCTAAAAGTGCTGTGATATTAGAATTAGATGAGATTTGTGATGGTATTCTTGCCTTTTTATCACTATAATAAACTCTGCCAAGTAAATTAAAATAGCTCCTATATTGTGGAGGAAATAAAGAAAAACTTCTGCAATTTTTATTGTGCTCCCAATCCAATATTGAACCATTCTCTGGCCACTTATGTAACTGCTGGCCCTGCAGATTAATGCCATTTCCCCTTTTTTGTTGTCATTTCAAATGAAGAACAGTTAGTTTTAATCCAACCCATACTTGTTACACTGCAGCCTTGCTTACTTTTAGGCTAAATAACTTTTTACTCATTGGGCTTTAGCTGATATTCTAATGATTTGTGGATACTCTTCCAAACACCATAGTCTTCAGAGCTTTTAGTTTGCAATACATATGACTCAGGAGTTAGAATTTTTTAAATTACAGAATAAAATAGTTTACAGCTCTTCCTTCCCCCCTTAGAGCTTCTACTGTATTGGTCTGGCAGGGGATTTTTTTTTAATGACTAAATAGGTGTTAACCTATCAGCCTTTTATTTCCTAAAAACTTGTCTAAAACTCTTCCCTTTTTTTCTATATTATGCTAGTTATTTTATACACCTAAGCTAATCCTTCTTCAAAATACCAATTCTGCTTTCATCTGTAGTGCCCTCGTGGCCATGTTTTTTCTTTCTTTTTTTCCTCGGTGTGAGTCAGCAGAACCACTACCAGACTTGAATGTGATCAGCTCATATAATCCTTTCCTAGTTCTTCCCTTTCACCAGCTTTCTCCTCTTCATTCTGAGCTTTCTACTTTCTGTCTCTGTGTTCTGAGCCCATTCCTTCATAGCCTCTTCCCCTCGCTATGCTCCGTTCTCCTTTGTGGTGTCTTCAGCTTTCGATGTATCTAAAGGTAGAAGTAACAGAATTAAGAAATCATGTTTACTGATATCCCTGCCCTCCTTCTATCTAAACCCCAGCCCTCCACCCGCTCCACACCTAACAAGAGGGACACACGGTCATGCTGATTGCTGTTGCTTCAAATGCACGGCCACAAACTTTAAATGGGCTGCCCAATATCCCTCTTCTATTTCTCTAGGCCAGTGGTTCACCAAGTATGGCTCCCAAAGCAGCAGCAGCAACATCACTTAGAATTTAGAAGAGCGCTTGCTTGAGCTCATCTTGGTGCATAAGCCAGAAATGCTGTGGGTGAAGTCCAGCAATCTGTGTGACTCAGATGCTAATGTACGAGAACCACTGCCCTTACCAAGTCTCTTACTCTTTGATGAGATTTTTTTCACACCTTCACACTTCTCAAACTGCCAGCCGCCCCCTCTCTCTCCTTCGCAATCACAGCTGATGATCACTTTTTATTTCACTGAGAAAACAAAAGCAGGAGAACTTCCTCATCTGCCTGCCTCCACATCTACTTGCGTCTACCGTTGTCCTGTGCCCTGCCTTCTCTTGCCACTAGGCCCATCCCCTTCATTGACTGGGCAGATTCCTTCCCATCTCTCCCGTGCATCATTCCCCTTGGCACACAAAACAAAAACTCCCTGAATATCCCAACCCCCACCCCAGTCCCCACCCAAATGGCTCACACTCTTAGAGAAACTGTAAGGCAAAGTCACGTGGTAAATCTTGATGGGAGCAGACAGCCTCATCTTATGTCACAGCACCACCAGGACTCTAAGGTACTGCTATGTAGTCATATAAAATACATATTGTTATATGAAAGTTTTTAATATTTGTGCCTTACTCCCCGCCCCCCCCCAAAAATAGGACAGACCCAAAATGAATAAAAATAGTTACCAGTGGAAGGAGAGCAGAAGCAAAAGTTAGACTTCTCTTTAATGGTTTTGTTTTATGGTTTTGAATTTAGACTTATGTAAATGTGGGATGTATTTTTAAAAGCAAATTCAGCGAAAAAACATCTAATTGAAACAAATGAGCCTCACTCTATAACAAATTGAAAGCATAGCCATAAGGAAATGCATTATTTTCAGTCATATTAAAGTTATATTTTTATATAGAGAGTTCAAGAAAAATTTCCAAAAATATTACAAAGAATTCCAAATGCCTTCACTCAGTTTTCCCACATGTGAATATTTTACTATATTTTTTCTTTCCCAGTCTTTCATTCCCTTTATTCATCTATCCTTTTATTTCCTAAAAATAGGGAATTATATAACCACAGTACAATTATTAAAATCAGGTAATTAATAATGAAATTGTATAATAATCTAATCTATTAGCCTTCTTCAAATTTTTCAATTATCCTAATAATATAAAGCAACCAAGAAGTAATATCATGTATATAGTTGTTAAATCTCTTTAGCCACTATTATCGAGTCAATTGTAACTCATAGTAATCCTATATAGGATTTTAGAAGCAGTAAATCTTTTTTTTTTAAACATTTTATTAGGGGCTCATACAACTATTATCGCAATCCATACACACATCAATTGTATAAAGCACATTTTGTACATCATTCTCAAAACATTTGCTCTCCACTTAAACCCCCGACATTAGGTCCTCATTTTTCCCCTCCCTCCCCGCTCCCCCCTCTCCCATGAGCCCTTGATAGTTTATAAATTGTTATTTTGTCATATCTTGCCCTGTCCAACGTCTCCCTTCACCCACTTTTCTGTTGTCCATCCCCCAGGGAGGAGGTCACATATAGTTCCTTGTCATTGGTTCCCTCTTTCCTACCCACTCTCCCTCTACCCTCCCTGTTTCGCCACTCACACCACTGGTCCTGTAGGGATCATCCGCCCTGGATTCCCTGTATTTTCAGTTCCTATCTGTACCAGTGTACATTCTCTGGTCTAGCCAGACTTGCAAGGTCGAATTTGAGTCATGGTAGTGGGAGCTGGGAGTAAACATTTAGGAACTAGAGGAAAGTTGTATTTTTCATCGTTGTTACGTCGCACCCTGACTCGCTCATCTCCTCCCCGAGACCCCTCTGCAAGGGGCTCTCCAATGGCCTACTAGTGGGCTTTGGGTCTCCACTCTGCACTCCCCCCATCATTCACTATGGTAAGATTGTTTTGTTCTGATGATGCCTTATACCTGATCCCTTCGACACCTCGTGGTTGCATAGGCTGGTGTGCTTCTTCCATGTGGGCTTTGTTGCTTCTGAGCTTGATGGCCGCTTGATTACCTTTAAGCCTTTAAGACCCCAGACGCTATACTTTTTGATAGCCGGGCACCATCAGCTTTCTTCGCCACATTTGCTTATGCACCCATTTGTCTTCAGTGATCCCTTAGACACCTCGTGATCACACAGGCTGATATGTTGTTCCATGTGGGCTTTGTTGCTTCTGAGCTAGATGGCCGCTTGTTTACCTGCAAGCTTTTAAGACCCCAGACGCTATATCTTTTGATAGCCGGGCACCATCAGCTTTCTTCACCACATTTGCTTATTCACCCGCTTTGTCTTCAGTGGTTGTGTCGGGAAGGTGAGCATCATAGAATGCCAATTTAATAGAAGAAAGTATTCTTGCGTTGAGGGAGTACTTGAGTGGAGGCCCAATGTCAGAAGCAGTAAATCTTTGTGTGAATAGATAGCTTCATCTTTCTCCTGTACAGTGTCTGGTGTGTTTGAATTGCCAACCTCATAGCTAGCAGCCTAACACAGTGCCATCTCTTTAGTTTCCTTTATGTGAAACACTACCTGAGTGTAATTCTTCTTTGTGTTTCATGATATGGAGTGTTTAGAACAAAACAGACCGGTTATATTGTAGCATGTTCTTCCATTTGGTTTGTCTGATGTTTCTTCATGATTACCAAACCAACCACCATGATGGCATATTGGTTATACATCAGGCTGCGAACCACAGTGTCAGTAGTTTAAAACCACCAGCCGCTCTGTAGGAGAAAGACAGGGCTTTCTACTCCCATAAAAACATCACAGTCTCAGAAACTCAGAGCCAGTTCTACCCTGTCCTAGAGTTATGACTCATAATTATGGCAGTGAGTTGAGGCCAAATCAACCAGTTGCCACTGAGTTGATTCCAACTCATGGTGACCGTATGAATGTCAAAATGAATTCCATAGGATTTCAGTGACTGATTTTTGTTTGCCTGAAGTACATCACCAGGCCTTTCTTCCACGGTACTTTTTGGTGGACTCAAGCCACCAACCTTTTGGTTAGCATCTGAATGTATTAACGCAGTGATTCTCAACCTTCCTAATGGCGCGACCCTTTAATACAGTTCCTCATGTTGTGGTGATCCCCCCAACCATAACATTATTTTCGTTGCTACTTCATAACTGTAATTTTGCTACTATTATGAATCAGATGACCCCTGAGAAAGGGTTATTCGATGCCCAAAGTGTTCGTGACCCACAGGTTGAGAACCGCTGTATTAACGTATTGCATCCCCAGGGACTTCTTCCTTATGATGAGATCTGTGTATATGCTATACAGGAATACCACAGTAGTGTTGCTGAGTTATGCTCAGTCATCATATCAAGAAACATCTGCTATTACCAGCCATGTAACTTTGATGG